GGGGAGAGAGAGAGAGAGAGAGAGAGAGAGAGGTGGTGTGTGAAAGAGCTGTTCTCAGCTGAAGTTCCTTGAAGTTCTCTGTTCCACGATTATCGTCATCACCATTATCTTCTTTGTACTGTCTTCTCTCCTACAGGTCTCGGAACCTAGCGTCCAGAGTCCTGACCTACAACCAGAGTACCCATGCCTGCCAGGGGGTCATTGTGGGTAGCCAGTGGGTCCTCACAAGTCCATTTTGTGTACTCAGGTAAGTACATCAGCGCCTGTGGCGAGGCGGTCAGGAGCTTTGATGTTGCATACAGAGGAGCCGAGTTCGATTGCCGAGTTGGAAATTTTTTTTTATCGAAGATCTCAGTAGATTAAGCGATTCTCATCGAATTTTTTACCCCCAGTCTTACTCTTTCTGAAGTACCAGCGTCTGTTGTGTTGTGGTTAGACACTTCTGTTTTAGTTTTAGTAGAAGTTTTTTGACGCTCGCAACTGCATAAGGTCATATGAGCGCCAAATTAGACACTTCGATGTCGCACACACAATGTTCGATTCCCAAGAAGTAGAAATTTTCCTCGAGGATCTCGGTCTTTCTGCTGGGATCTGCTTCCTTCTCAGCCTCAGTTGGCCCTGACAAGCAAGGTAAAATTCCGCTTCCTTTATGATCTAAATTGTTTCGACAGGACCATCAATAATTTATTTATAGAGGCACCAGCCATCCATGTCCAGGTGCTGTTTTAGCCAATGTATCGATAGGGACGTTGAAAAAAAAACACTTTAAAATTACCATTTTTCTTTTCCCAGTGCTGGCAACACTGTCTACGACGCCCCTTCCCGGATTCTGGTGGTGGCGGGCGAGTACAACGTGAGTGGCATTGACAGAAACCCTGTCACCGGGCAGCCACAAGAGCAGCTCCTCAACGTACAGTCCGTGTACTTCTACCCCACCTACCCGTTCAAAACACAGGAGCAAATGATCGCCAAGATCCAAGATACCAGAGCGATAAATAGTAAGCGGCTTCTACGTGATTATTACTTTTTAGTTACCATTATTCTTTAATATACTATTAGAGAAGCGAACTCCCTTTATTGTTCTTTAACATTTTGCATATTAGAGGTGTAAACACTATGTTTTGTGTGTGTTTGTGTGTGTTTGTGTGTGTGTGTGTGTGTGTGTGTGTGTGTGT